ATCTTCTTCAGCACTCTCCATATTTTCCCCTTGATCCCGTATTTGGACAGTTGTTTCCACACCCCATTTCTCCATACGGTGTCGTATGCCTTTTTCACGTCCAGGAAGAAGTACGTCGGCTTTCCCGCCCTCTTTCTGTCTTGGATGATTCACCCTACCGTGAACACGTGGTCTACGCACCCCCTCTTCTTTCGGAAACCTGCCTGGCCCTCACTACTGCTATGTTCCTTCTCCAATATTTCCACTATCCTATCGTTCAGCAGCTTACAGAACACTTTTCCTACTGTATTCAACAGTGTGATCCCCCTGTACCCCACAGCACCAGAGCAAATATCTAAAAAACTCGAACGTGAAATCTGAGGGAAGCGGTGCAACAGTAAGGCAACAGTCAACCTTCCTTTCGAAAGAGGTCGAGTAGAACGATCACCTTCTCCACCTCGCCCAATATGTACGGTACAGGCAGCACCGGCATGTGTGCTTTTGCTATTTGTTCATTTGCCGCCCACACAGCTCGACACCCTTACGCACCTTTCTTGCGAACGATGGGTCTGCAAACCTAGCCTCCACCGGAAATGTGTGCGTCTCCAGCCATTGCAGCAGCGGTAGGTCCATCCCAGTCCCCCGATACACATACTGCGTTTATCACCACGAGAGCCACGCATGCACCAACAAGCCAGTAGGGTACACGTTGTCAACCATAAAATGGAGACGAAGGGCTGATTCGCTGAACATAGTCGTCGCAATAAGGCTTAGAATAAGGGGAGAGAGTAGGCCGTTGTCGTCGTCCATACGAACAAGATCATTCGGTAGATCCAGACATGTGTGTGTCAACGCACCGTCACAGCGGCACCACCGGAACACGAGGAGGCACATGATGCCACGTCAAAAGCATTCCTGCCCCCCGACGCCGTGCTTCGTGGCATGTGCATGCGTCATCCATCTCATTCGCTGATAAAAAACATCTTTCCAACATCAGCATTGAATCGTGACCCAAAAATCGACATCAAAAACACCAACCACTGAACACCACCCTTCTTAACCACCTGAGGCGCATGGGCGTGCCCGTCAATGAACCCCGGCATGATGAGCTTCCCTCGAAAGTCCGCCAGTTCCACCCCTTGCGCCATGAGGTCGGCCATGGTCTCCTCTGCGCCGTCGTCGTTCATGTCGTGCACGGCGCTGATCACACCGTCCTCGTCCACCACGATCGCCGCGTCCGTCAGCATCTGCAAAGGATTCACGTTCGTTCATGTCCGACTTCCGCTTGACTCGATTGATTTAGACACACGCACACGTGACAGCCGAAGTATTTCGGCGTGCACCGCAGAACAATTCCCTTGGGCGACCCGAGCCTTGGCCTACAGGTTATAGTCTACAAGTGCGGGCGCGTTCTGCATACGCGATGACAACCACCCCCGCAGCACGGATACCAACAACTACAATTCCCTCGGGGTCAACCTCCTTTGAGTAGAGTATCAGGGAGGAGAGAACCCTCCCCCTCCTCGCTCGCCCTTTCCCGAGCGCCCGATACCCCTTGCCGCCCAGAGGACAAAAAAGGGGCAGCCTGTCGATGGTAGGTGTTAGGTCCAGCGCTAACTCTCAAGAAAGCTTCGCTCGGCATGCCATGTGGACGTCGGTGCGTCGCTGTTGATCAGCTACTTGTGGGGTACATGTAATCAAGGTGTTCCTTCATTTGTCAGGTGTCGAATAAAAATATGGGTGCGAATGGCGAGCCCGTAACATCAGCCTAGCATGCAAACATGAACAGCGCTACAAACCGCAGAACTGTAGAACCGAGCCCACACCAAACAGATGCGCCACACAAGCTGCAAGTGATCGGCACTCTTGTCCAAGATTGCAACAAGTCGCACAGAAACACCTACATAGTTGTACAGGTTACCGTGGCTTTCGTTGCGCATACATACCACATACAGTCGAGGGACCCTTTTAGTGCCGGTTGAATAGTGCCAGATGCCCGGTATAGTGCCGGTAAAATCTCTGCACACAGGCGGAGCTCTCAATAGTGCCAGACCGGCACTAATTAAAGCATGCCCGATATAGTGCCGGTTCGGCACTGCTGTCACCCCCAATAGTGCCGGTACTCCGCACGCGCGAAACACACACACGCACAACCCAGGGCAGAAAACATAGACTCCACACACAGAAATAGGGTACACGTGCTGCTGCAGACCCGAACAGCTCTACACAGGGGCGTACCATGCCCTGTGCGGAAGGTGAACTGTGCCAACTACAGGACACCACGCCGCAAGACCCTCATGGTCACGGCTGCCAGGGAGGATGTGGCGGGCGACTGCACGGCATTTGCGGCAGTGTGGTTGATGTAGGCAACGAGAATCACCGCATCTGCAGCGCGTGCGTCGCCAAAGCCGGCAAGCGCAAAGTGTCAGCAGCAGACAGCACTGGGAAGGCACAATCTAAACGTCCGAAGGCCACGAATGGGGGGAGTAACAAGTCTCAGCCTCGTGCGCGGCCAGATTTCAGCGCCAAGTGTGAGATGCTGAAGCTGATGGATCAGAAGGTGACTCATGAGCAGCTAGCAGATCGCTTCAAGTGCTCGGAACGGTTGGTCCGGGATGTGAAGAA